GGATATGCCTTGGAGGTTGTTTTTCCAGGTGGGGGGCAGGGGTGCTTTGGGGGGGGGGTGTCTTGAGCAGGACCGGTTTGATTTGTAGGCGTATCAACAGCCGCATCCATGGAATGAAGCAAGGCATGCAAGTTGGTGACTGGGTGTCAGCAACATATCATCACGAAACACAGAGAAATGCACTCTTGCTGGCGCTGGTAACCAGCAGTGCAACTCAAGGTGCACGCAGTGCGCTCATGCGCAGGGCGCAGGGATGCTTCGCACAAGCAAACAGGGGAGGCCACATTGCACACCGAATACAGATAAATACGAGCCAATATCTGGATCTAGCACTTCAACTACGCGATATCTTTGCTGCTGAGTCCGAGTGGAGTGCAGCTCGTCACCTCGCACTATCGGTACCATCAGCAGCGAGGCTTCATACCTGAGCTTTTAAAGTGATCGTGCAAAATCATACACAGTGCTAGTCAACATGGTGCGGCTCACGTGGAGCAATTAAAGGGGCTCTGCTTGCGCTGCGCGAACAGCAGTCCCCGAGCAGCGTCGCTTTGTCCGTCGTGCGTGCCGCCAGCACTCGAGAGCCGCGTTTGCGCGGCCTGTAGCGACCCGCCACTATTCATGCTCTGTGCATCTATGTGAGTTCATCATGCGCGCCCCCAGCGTTCCACTGCATCTCGCCGCCCCTCGCTGACGCCACCCCCCCCCCCCCACAGGGCGGCCCCAACAAAAACGGCCCTATGGGCTGCCCCTGCTGCGCGGGCCCCCGGCCCTGGGACGCCGCGCTGCGCGGCAGGGGCGGCCTGCGCGACCGCCTGTTCGCACGGCTGATGCGGGGCGGCGCCGCCAAGTACAACCAGCTGCTGGGGGAGCGGAAGCGGGCGCTGTTTTCTGAGATTGGGTGGGGGGCTGATGTGAGGGATCTGCTGGAGGTCGGCATCGGCTCAGCCCCAAATGCAGAGTTCCTCAGTGCAAACAAGGTGCAATTTTCTCTGCTCCGCATGCAATAGGGTTGCGTTGCGGGTAGTTAGCGGCGGCTACTTGCAGCCGCTGACATGGGCCTCGACTCTGCTGGTTGAGGAGAGCGAGCATGCAATCTCATCTCGTGTTGCGTCTCGGTGGGTGTTTCGTTTTCGTAATTTCACCTGCACGCACGCTCGCCTGCTTGCGGCACCGGCGCCGTCCTGCCACGCATTCCCCTCGCGCCCGCCATGCAGGGGCTGCGGATCACAGGCGTGGACCCCAACCCTGCCATGGCGCCGTACGCGCGAGAATCCTTGGCAGCGGCCGGCCTGGCGTCGGGCAACGTCGCGCTGCTGCAGGTGAGGCCACGCAGCTGGTCGGTGCGGGCTCGGACTCTGCGGGGCGTCGATGCGGGCACGCAGGCAGGGGGCGCCGTATGTATCAGGCGGCCCCTCACAGCTGCACCGGCATGTGTGCTGGGTGTTTTACCAAAAAGGAACCTGCCTCCTGCCACCCAGCAAACTTGTTGCAACAAATGCAATATTGCATCCCACAAGGAGTGGCTGCGCGCCGCGCCACCGCCGCACGGGCGTGCGCGCGTGGGTCGCAGGGTGTGGCCGAGTCGCTGCCAGTGGCGGACGAGTCCCAAGATGCAGTAATATGCACGCTGGTGGGCCGGCGCCACGTCGCGAATTGGGTGCTGTTGCTCGGGCTCCGAGCGCCCCTGGGAGTAGCCCGTGATCCCTTGTCTTTCCACCGCAAGGACATCCAGTGTCATGCTGCGAGCAAGGTGTCGTGGCTTATGTCTGACGACTGATGTCCCCATGAGCCCTTGGTTCCGCGGCTGCCCGCGTGGCTCACGCCAGGTCCTGTGCTCGGTTGTCAGCCAAGAACGCGCGCTCTCCGAGGCGCGCCGCGTGCTTCGGCGGGGCGGAAAGCTGCTGTTCATGGAGCACGTGGCGGCGCCGTACGGCAGCCTCACGCGGCGGCTGCAGGTGCGGCCGGGCGCTTCTTGGCAGAGCCGCGGAAGCAGCGCTGCTGATTGCGGTTGTACCGTCCTTGTCCATGGAAGCTCCGTCGACAGCCCCCCGAGTTGTGACTATCAGCTGTGGCCGTGCTGCCCCTCGCCCCGCGCCCTTGCGCCTGGACCTCCGCACTCGGACAGTCATCCCTTCCTTGCCAAGCCTTCATACGGGCAATCAGCCAGTTGCCTCACTGTGGCGAATTCCGGCACGCCATAACACATAACCCCCCCCCACACACACATACTCACATGCACGCACATTCCAAACACACTCGCTCAACCTTTTCGCAATCATCGCGCCACAGGACCTGTGGAACCCGGCTCAGCTGTGGCTGGCGGAGTGCAACTGCAACCGCCAGACATGGGAGGCCTTGGAGACGGCTGGATTTGCAAGCCTCAGGGTGGAGCGGGTCCAGGCAACCAGCAACCCATTGTGCGCGTTGATAGCACCGCACATTGCTGGCGTGGCCGTCAAGTAGCCGGCACGCAAGCGGAAGTCAGGCAGGGCTGCGCATGCCCCTCAGGGCGCAGGCTCTGGAGCTGGAGCACTGCAGCCCTGTGGGTGATCCACAGATGCGGGTGCACGGCCGCAGTCAGCGGCGCTTGCGCTGCGCGTCACTCCATCCAGGGCTGCTTCAGTGTTGTGGCACTGAGGCCTCGGCCACGCACGCCTACGAACATATGCATTCTGGCGGGTGGTGCTGCAAGGATGTCGACAACGGCGTCCGCGAGACTTTGGCCTGTCGCTGCAAGGGCTGGCACGGGTGCCGCTCATCCCTCTGGGCTTGTAACCCTTACAATTACACACCTGTATGGCACGCGCGCACTTTGCATCCGGAGCATGGGAAGAGCGCTGTCGTCTCACATGGCTGGACCACTCTGCTGGGTGGCTGCATGCTCATGTTGTGGTGGTGGCGAGAGCCACCGTTTTGGGAGTACCTGGGGCCGCATGCGCAATCTGCGCAGGACCATTCGGGCATCCGCGTTCAAGCCGCGGCGCGGCGCATGGATTTGGTGCTGACCGTGAATGCGTGCGCGCGCGCGAGTGCGCGCGCCCGAATGCACGGGCAGATCCATTCGGGGTCCATCAGCAAAAGCCGATGTGCGCCTCATGGGATTCGAAGCCACCCGTGCACGAGTGCACAGGCAGACCCACTTGGGGTCCTGTGATCTAGCCACAGTGCGCCTTATGGGGTTTGGGGGGTTGGTCAGTGAGCGGGCAGCGGCCAGGCAGAGCATGCAACGGAGCAAGTTGTGCATGTGCGTTCCGAAGCATACACACAGCTTGGCATGCAATCGAATCATTCTGGCAACAAACCTGTGGTTGAAATTTTGGCGATGGGGCTTTAAGTTGGCTGCGCTGGCGGCAGGAAGGCGGCGAGCACTTGCGCGACGGCCTGGGGGAACCTTGCGCATCGCTCTGCAAGCGCCTGAGCTAGCTTCTCGCTGGCTACACTTCCTGCTGCTGCTATTCCTGCGTTTCTGAACGTATGTCTTGCGGTGCATTTTGAATGCATATTGCGTGCTGATCTACGGTACCATCATCACAAAGCTCCCGTTGACCGGGGTGTGGGCGAAGCCGCGGGGTCCTTGTGCATGATTATACAGGACGTAATTTTGTCTGTGTCTGTACAGGAATCAGATAGCCGCTATGATGTGCTGACGAGACTCGTGAAGCTCAGAGAAGCTTGGTAAGAAGTACCGCACCCATGCGTTTCTCAATCAGGGGATAAATCCGCATCACATGCAGCTTGTGTGCATGAAAAGATTATCTGAGCAAGGGGGTAGCCGACCAGCAGCGATCTACCCGCAGCGGGCAGCACGAGCAGGAGTGCACCGCGCAAGGGGCAGGCACGCTGCGCGATGCGCTGCAATGTGGGCCAAGCAGGCGGCAGCGGTAGTGGCAATGCCGAGGTTACGCGAGCCTGATCCAAATGTGTTGCCAGCTGCTCGGCACCCCCTACCCCACAAGCCTTTCGCCGTGAAGCTCGGGCGAAGCGGCTGATTGCTGGCAGTGCAGAGGCCCAGGGTCCTTTGGAACCTTTGACTTGCAAGGACAACGCAGAACTGTTATCCCTGTGCAATATCTACAAGCATGTCAATGTGGCTGTCCACCTGGCAGACTAGCAGGGGCTAGGGGAGACTGCTTGCCTTCCAAAAAAGCCTGCACAAATCCGTTGCAGCAATTGTGTTTCCTGGTACCGCGCGCGCTTACACAGGCGATGAAAATCGATGTTATTCTGTCAGCAGCATATCTGATACAGGTTGGTTTATCGACGCAGCCGTCGCGGCTGGATTTTGATCGTGCGTAGGGCACATGTCATGCCCGCGTCACCTCTCGGCGAGTTTTCGAGTGCGGGTGCAGTCACAGCCAGAAAGGAGAGGGCACCTAACAGGGCCACTGCAGGAGCACAAGAAAGTCAGATGGGTGCCAAAGCAGAGGGCCAGAAAAGCACAGCGCAAGAAGGAAAGAAAGACTGGAATACAGGCGCCACGCCAAGTGCTCGAAGAGAGGGAGGTGGCAGCGTACCAGGGTAGCAGGGTGCCGATTTGCTCGTGCCGCAGACCTGGCATGCGCCGTGCGGCAGAGCCGCTCAGGGCCACGTCATGCCAACAATGCGTTGTCCGCTGCGCACCAGCCATCCCTCACATGTCTTGAGGAATCACCTAACTTTGCAACAGAGAAACCGACGGCCGCTGCCGCGGCTGGGCCTGCAAGGGCCTGCAAGTAACTTCCTACCTGGCGGGTGCGTGTAGGATGCCGCCACACTCGCTGGCCCAACCCATACTCCGCCACTGGTGGGCCCAGCTGGAGAGAGTCAGCCGCGACAGACACTCTTTTATTCACACGTGCGCCGCAGAGGGGCACTAGAGACGTCTGCCCTCCGGCGAGGCCCCTACCTCCCCGCCAATGGTGGGCGCGGCCCCTTGCGGGGGGCACCGCGTTCGAGGCAACCCAGCCTGAGAGCACTCGCTCCCGCCGTCCTAGCCCTGAGCGCGCACCCGCTGCTGCGCCTGCACGCGGTGCACCGCCGCCGTCGCCGCCGCCGACGCCGCGGCCGAAGCTGCGGCGGCCTTCCTTGCCTGCTGCGCTGCGTACTCCTGCAGTTGGGTCGGCACGAGTGGGAATGATGCAACAAGCTTGAGTACACAAGTGATCAGCACCCATTCTGGCCAACACAATTGTGAAGCAGCATACACATACAATTTTTTCGTTCTTGCATGACAAAGGCAAAGGCAGCCATGCGAGCGTTTGGAGGGGGGGGCGCCAGGCCAATAGATGGGGGCGGTCATGGCAGCCACCCACCTGGGGGTTGAAGCTGTGCTCGTTGACCTGGAACTCGTCGTCTGGGGTAAGGGGCGGGGG